TAGTTTGAAGGAGCCCATCCATTCCATATACAAAAATAAATACAGGTGAAGACAACTAGTGTAGCAGCAGTCTCTGCATCAGTAGGCCTCAATGTACACAACGGAAGAACCAGGATGCTTAAATACAACACGGAGAACACCAACCCAACCACACTTGGAGGAAATGCTCTGAAAGAGATTAAACGTTTCACGTATCTGTGTAGCACCATCGATGAACGTGGGGGATCTGATGCAGACGTAAAGTCGAGGATCGGTAAAGCAAGGACCGCATTCCTACAGTTGAAGAACTCAAAACTCAACCAATATCAAAGTGAGAATTTTCAATTCGGACGTCAAGACAGTTCTACTACATGGAGTTGAAACTTCAAGAACTACAACCATAACCAAAGTGGTACAAGTATTTAAAAAACAACTGTCTACTCAAGATACTCAATGTCGGTTTGCCGGATACCATCATCAACAGTCTACTGTGGGAGAGATCAAATCAGCTGCTATCTTAAGGGGAAATTAGGAAAAGACGCTGGAAGTGGATAGGAAATAGATTGCGGAAATCTTCAAACTGCATCATGAGGCAAGCACTAACTTGGAATCCTGAAGAGAAACGAAAAAGGGGAAGGCCAAAGAACACATTGCGTTGAGAATTGGAGGCAGACATTAGAAGGATGAATCGCAACTGGAAAAGACTGACCACCAGGACAGGGTTGGATGGAGAATGCTGGTGAGCTTTCTGTGCTCCTCCGTGAAGGGTAATAGGAGTAAGTAAGTAAGTATTTGGTCAGATATCCTATCATTCAATTTCGCCTAACTATACAGTTAATAAAATTATTCACGGCTGAGAGCATACTTCAAACCCACCACTATTGATTATCATCGTTAATAGTAGTATAAACCTATCCAATTAGAGGTCATATTTGCGATATCGTTAGCATGTGACTTTATCTTAAATTAATCCATCGTTTTTGTATAATTTTGCATGAACCTAAACTTAGTTACTTCCTCGTTTTTTATGTATAAATTATTACTCATATTCTTGTTTTGTTTAAAGATTATGGTTGGTGCAAAAAAAGAATTATCAAGTTTATGGAGTTGGTTGTGTACATTGAATACAGTTACATTAAAATTCATCAGCCAATTTGTAGTCTGTACCTATCAAAGTGAAAATCATATGCAATCAATTGGTTTGTGTAATCGCGAAAAATCCTCATCAATTTCATTTGATGAAATACCTGTAATTCAAAGAAGTTCTCTTACGTTATATACATTAGAAAGCGTCATCACATGTTTACCTCGTCCATTATCTGTGAATTTAGTAATGTAAGTGAATAAAATTTAATTTAATTAAGTTTGAATAATTTATATGCATGTGTTTCTGTAGAATTCTCAAATATTTCTCAATTGATTTACCTTGGTGATAAAAACTTATTGATTGAAATAATTGGTGCTAAAGTCTTCAACTCAAAGGTTGACATTGAAGTTGTTGTGGTGTGAGCTACTTATATCTACATAAGTAGTATATAACGACAGTCAGGAATAGGATGTATTTCAGTAGAAAATCGAGAGGGAAGAACGGGAATGGAGAGCAATTTGTACGAAAATGTAGGAACAATGAAATTCGAGACGATGGACCGATATTTGCACAAGAAATGGTCAAGTTTGAGACAATGGTTTGATATTTTGAAACTAAGTATTTACTGTATGGTTCTCAGATTTTAGTGAGATATTTTGTAATTTCGTGTTAAAATACATTCGGTTGTTCCCACTCGTGTTCTGGTTCGCTACATTGTCAGATATCACAGAATAACTAATTTAGACAATCTTCAAATAAATATTACTTAATAATTTCTCGATCGGTAGAGTGAAATTCTAACCTACTTACTACACAGTATTTGCTATTAAACAATTATAATTAAACCGCTTACACATCTTGTTGCTTACTTTTTCTCACTTTAATTGAATTACAGATAAATTTTCGGAATATAATAAAATATATTGGTATTTACCTTCCAGTTGCAATATTTTACTAAAGCTATGTGAAGAAAGTAAACGGAATCATTAAAAGATTGGTAAAAATAAAACTGTGGTTATGATAATGTTTGGGTTATTGTTCTGCAATAAGTTTTACTTACGAACGATTGAGATCCTCTTTGATGTGAACGGGATCCAATGTGAATTAAATGGATCGAGTGGATGACACAACATTTCGAAAATTGTTCTTAACACAATGGTCAGTATAAAAATATGAATTAGAAAAAGTATTCTCGTTACAGAAAACATCTAACATTTATTAACAAAAACTAGATAACATACAGTCTTCGTAACAAATTAATAAATAATAAAGAATAGTTATAATTTATCATCACTAGCATAAATATGTATTTAAACGTAGGCTACTTATATCGTTTCTCTTATCAGTAGTAGTACATTATATTTTAAGTGTTTTTGTCAGTTTATATCTAACTGATTATTTTTTTCGCCAACCCTTTATTAGGCATCCATCATGGGAAAAACTTATTCATAAAATGCATCTGTCTACTGAATTGTGCAAGATACTCAATGAATCTGTTCTAAATAAACAGGATAACCTTTCACGGAAGGGGGATAAGGGGTGAAGGATAGAAAATAAACAAAAAGTCAATTTATCACAATCATTTCTGTCTAGTCAATTTGATTTTTTTTTTACTGATTATTAGTTTCATTTATAACAAATACAGATATAATTCATTATTATCAATAGATTATTGAATTAGTTTCGTCAATCCTTTAAAAAGAGAATAATTATAATTTATACTTTATTTAAATATCATAAAATATTTATTGTATACATAGGTATATATCTTTTAATCTCTCATTGTTACTCTTCATATTGTACTCACAATCATTATGTATGTACAAAGAAAATGCATATATACATATATCGGTGTTGGAGATTCTCTTTAATGCTTTTTTATTTTAAATGTACACTTACCTTTTTGGCTCATTGTTAATTTTGCAGGGTTTTTTTTTATATTTTTGGATGTATTTTGTGTATATGTTACGTAATTAAGTTATTTATCTGTGCAATTTACTTTCTTAGTTATTGTGTTGTAGATTATTACTTAATTTATGTATCTTTCAACTAATGAGCTATATGTATGTAATCTATCCCAAATTTAAAAATCTTGGACAGTTTTAACATCAAAATTTCTGCCAACTAATGACATATTGAAATATACAAATTTAAAGAAAAGATAACTTACATTATTCGAATACACTAAGAAATACTATAATAATTATTTATTTCAGTGACAAATATATACTTGCACAGGACTTCACTATAATATAATTGGTTGGCCGATACTTTGAAATATTAACCATTAAGTTCTGTCTGAGTTCATAATCACTTCACTTCTATTAGATGAATTAGTTGGTTTGTAGGTATGTACAAATACTTAACAGATTTGACATTTTGACAGGTTTTGCTTTCTTTTACGAAATTTCAAAAATATATTATTATTTAAACAAACTTAGAATTTGTAAGCTGGCTTGTGTAAACATTTAACTAGGGACATATTATAAAATTTAATCTTTTAAAAATCATTGTTTATTTCTTTTCTCGATTAGTTAATGTTAGATATCCACTTTAAAGCAAAGTGAATAATTAAGAGATTCAAACACATTTAGTGAATTTTTAATTCGTTATATGGTAGCAGCTTCGCAAATAACTTTTAATGAATAAAGAAATATGGATAAAGCAACAACTTTTGTAACTCTCTTACTGACTATTGATTTATATACATTTACTAAACATCTAGAATATTGTTTTTTCATGTTCCTTGTATTATAGGCATCTATTAGACTCATTAACTGTTGCCATACATCTCACTATTCATTAATTATTGCTTAGCAATTATTCACTTTTTTCCATTTTATATCATTTCTGGTTTGATTATGCATAAATAACGGCTTCCCGTTTGGGGTTCGATATTTCATGTACATAATTTAAGTGCTTAACGCTTGGATGCTGCTACATTGTTCTGTTGAACTCAGTATTAGACTAGAAAGAGAGCGTAGATCCGGGTCAATTGACGTTTAGAATAACCGGTGACTGCTTAAGGTTAATCGTTATCAATAGAAGCGTGTAATTATTTAAGACTTAGGATGATTTATGTACGAACAAAGTATTCTTGGAGTAGATGATTATCAAGATTATGATTGATGAATCTTCTCTAGTGATCGGTCTAGGTGGATGTAAGAAAAGTCATGGATTTTAAGAAATCAAACATAGCGTTCACTCCAAAGTCACCTACATACTTCGAGAGTGGTTTATAATTTCGAATTTTGTATTCCAGTTTATCATATAGTTTACAGTACTATAACTATTTCATGTTTTATCCTTAACGTTATATTTGTAAATTTTATGTGAATTCGAAAGTGAAGATAAATATATAATGAAACTAATGCTACTTGCTGTTGTATCACTTTTCTTAAGTTGAATTGAACAGTTTATTATTTATTCATACAGTAACCGGTCTCTTTCGTCAATAATTTCTAAAACAATAGACCATTATTATTTAAAATTTTGAATTCTAATCTCTTATATGAATGAATGAATTCATTTTATCTGAATTGTATCGTTAATACTTTATTTGATTTCGTTTTTGCGTGATACAAATAGTAGCCAAATGGAGCACACACATTGTTTCTTTTTATATTTTTAGGCGTTACCTTATTTAACATCTACTTTCTATTGTCTTTTAGTTGGTATTATTGTTTCATTCACCTGGAAAGATTCTCCAGTTATTTCGGGTTAGACAGTCTTGAAATTGTATATATGGATGTTAAAATGTATGTGACCTTAATTTCGATTTAGTAAACAAATTGAGGGAATAAATATAGATTCTTAACTCTTCTACAAAAGGTTGATAATCACTATTAATATTGGTGCTCTTATAACGACCCAGCTATTTCTATTGCATTGTTTGACACCAATTCATTCGACAAGTCCCCAAATCAGAATACGGTTGAACAGGAACGAATTATATTTCAAATAACAATGGTAAATGGGGGAAAGAAGCACAATAAGAAAAGTTAGTATATTTATAGTTTGGTTGGCTAGTATGTGTTCGTTTTAGATTTCTCTCACTATGATCGTGTGAATAAAAATAGGTGTAAGTAGTTTAATGACAAGTTTGAACTTTGCCGTTTAAACACAGCATCTATTTCGTTGATGAGGTTAGAGTGGGTAAAAAAATTACTCCTTGTATGTTCTTTTATCAGCAACAATTTAAACAGCTCTCTTTTTAACTGTGTATCAATAATCATGCTTAACTGGGCAAGTGATTAAATATTATTTCTTGCCATACACAATATTGACCAATATTATTGGCAAATATTGTTGAACTACTTGTAAGTAGTATAATCGTTCTAATGCAATGTCATGATCGATTACAGGAACATAATGAAGCAGTTGAACTTTAGTGATGTCTTGAATTACCGATACATACTTAGTTAACATGAGAATATCTGGGTGAATTCAACAACCTTTGACTTTTATTGATAATCAATTGTTACGAATTATTTTATTCTGAACGTAACGCAAATAAACACCATATAAATTCTATTTCATGGTTAACTAGTAAGGGATTTATTCAAACTGTTTGGCAACTGTAACCACTTATAGCATACATATCTGAAAATGTTAGTATCTCGATGGTACGTATAACATATTTCTTTTATTTGATGCATAAAGAATTCAGCAAAGTGAAGAGGGAAAGCTGACCTCCACCTTGATCTACTTCGAGGCATAAATATTCGACTCAGATTACGTAGCAAATTCCTTTCACATTTTATATATAATGACCACTCATAACTTTTACCGCATAAACGGAAGCTACAATTGGTCAAGACAAGTCAAAAAGTTATCTACATAGCATCGCTTATCACAATACTAAATCTCGAACTTCCATTTCTGTATTTCAAATGAAATTTCAAAATTTAACCACTGTGCAAGAAAAATTACAGTAAAATCAAGATACTGTACAGTATGGGAATCATGACTGGAAAATGTGAATTTTTATTCCACATAAGTATATGAAACAGGTGGTATTAATTGAACGCTCTGTTGACACAAATCAGGTGATATACATAGCTTTTTAGAAGATATTTTATAATCATCCTTTAGAATTCCAGCAGCAAGGTCTGCATCTTCCTGTGAAAAAAATGGGACCAAAAAACGTGTCAATATTTATTTATGAAAAAGGATCATCATATGAACAATAAATTTAGGTTGTGAGGCTGTTTTATGATATAATATATGAGATAAATATCGGTTCAGGAAAAATTTAGCATTCACTGGCTTTGATTCAGGCCAACCAACGTATGTTAAGACTGATCACAGAAAACCATTGAGAATCATAAAGAACTAAGACGGCTCTTTCGTCGTATTACGGTGACGTCTTGGCAGTATAAACCAACAGCCCCACCGGCAACCGAACCCAAGACCTCCAGACCTCACAGAGAGCGTCTAACCGTTTACACTCCTAACCCTAACTGATTCTCTGATCATGTGACCCTCATCCATTCCCATAAGTAATATTCTTTGTATCATAGGTGGGCTCTGTTGAGAAGTCCCACACTAAGACAAATCGGCTGTTCAGTGGTACCTAGTTTTTAAGTTTTGTCTAACTAAAATTGTTTCGTGATGCAAAACAAGGAAATTCAACAATCGGTACAACCCCATATACTTGGAAAATAGTTAAAATACTGCTTTAAATTAACAATACTACGCGTGAATATATTTACTTTCGTTACTAATAAATAATATACCCTAAAAGTAAAACCATATTCTAACCCATCTTTGTGATGTTTGGAATTTTTACCTGACTGACTAGTGTAGAACTCGATAAGTATCTGTGCGAGTCATCCTACTTAAAAGAAGCTTGGAGAATAACATGTGAATAAAAAGTAGGGGTAGGCAAAGCGGATTTATGGGTGTGCGTCAGTAGGAGACAACTTCTGCTCTTCACACTGACGTTAGAAAATACATACATATATTGTCACCGAAGATTGACATTTTAAACATCATATTTCGTTGACGTATACAACTTCATGAAACGATCTGTTTGTGTTACTTAAAGCTTCATTTACAACCCTGTAATTAGTCCTCGGTTAGTAACAACGCTACCGAACATCTGAAACTTCATTTGATCTACTAATAATGCCTATATTTTGTAGCAGATGTGCGGTTGAACACTAATATTCTCCTGATAATTACCAAAATGATTATATAAATATGTTAATGAAAGTGGTTTATTAAGTAAAAACTACTGTTTTAAAATCTGTGATACCTGTTTAAGCTAGTTTGATAAAATAAATATAGATATAACAGTTTCCATCATACAGCGAAACTACATACATATATCCTCTTCTTTTTAGTTCTAAAGTTTTTAACAAACACTTTTTCATATTAAATTAAAACGCAAATTATCTAAAATAACTAGGTTTTCAAAAATTTTCACGACGACAACCAATGTGAAACTCATTAAACCTCCACGAAACATTCATAGACCAGTAACAATGGAAGTCTAAAATAAGTGATGCCACATTGGAATGAATTGGATTTTTAGTGAGAAAGTTTCTCATGTGTCCTTAGACAGTTCATGTTGAAATCTGCCATATATACTAGTTCTGTATGTATAACTTGTTTTTAGGAGGCTGAATCATTTGGCTCTATGAAGTCGATTTTTTAAAGTTGAAAGTCATATATATGAACGGTTAAAAACCATCGAAGTTATGGGTGGACCTGTGTTGATGGAGACGGTATGATGAATCCATTACTTTCTGTCATTGTTTAACATGATTCCGCGGCTTTATAAAATAGAATTTACGTGTATAAATCATTGTGAAATGATTGTCGTATGAACATTAAGTAAGTATGAGGCATACATAGTATAAAGGCTGTCATATACAGTAACCATTATATTAATGTGACAACGATATGAAAACTTTGGTTTACAGTTTTGATCTACCTTGAGTGATGTGACAAGAATGGTCAGGTTTATGTATAAAATGCACAATACAGGAAGATTCTTAATTAACCATCAGTTTATATTAGGGAATAACATTTGTTCATCACTGAAATATGGTGCATTAATTGCTATTAAAGAATTAATTTCACATGAAATGTGCTCCTTTTGAGATATTGTTCACATTGCTAGTTAACTACTAATAAAAAATATATACAAATAATGGGGTGAAAAGCAGAAAATAAAGCTGTTGCATATAATTAGACAAATTACTGAACTCACTTGTGTATGTGGAGGTTCATCCAGAGACTTTAACCTTCTTTTATGAGGCTTCTGCTTTTTGTGAAGATCAAGAGTGATCTGATCAATAAAATACTTGTCACAAAAGATACAAAAGAATTGACCAAGACCAGGCTTATCTTCGTCTGGTTCTGTAGCTTCAATAACTCGTTTAGCAAAATTTTCCTCTTTGAGGTCACTAGATATCTAAAACAATAGAACAGGTGCCTATTATTACAACGGCATTATAAATCATGAGTTAATTACAAATAATGAATGGTAATACTACACTTAAACCGTTGGACCACAAACTTGAAATTCACCTCATTTACTTCATCTAAAAAATTCAGATGAGCACGTATAATCAATCTTACTAACTGATAGCTAAAAAACATCTGTGCACACTTTCATTTAGTTTCATAAATACTTTCACAGGTTACATTAATTCGGTGAGTTTCTTTATGACTATTTACTAAAGGCTAAACTTTAAAACAGATTTTATTTGGTAGCAAATCCAGCAATTTTTCTGATACTATATCTTGAAGATGAATCGGAGATGTATGCAGAAAAGACTTTTACACTCTGTTTTATGAATATCAATAACTTTGTCAACTGCTATACTTCCATTAACTAGCAAATTAGTACTGTCTGACTGGAAAGTTGTGCTGTAGGATTATAAGTAACTGTAACTTGAGTTAATCATTAATAGCCATAGATTTACAGTCAAAACAAATACTTATATCCCAAAACACCTAAGACATTACACGCTTTAGAGTGGTTGGTCAGTAGTCTAAGCATTTGAGTTTTCAACATTGGGTTGCACGTCAAGATTTCACTTCATCTAAGTTAATCTGCACAGCATTCCTGCAATATGTGATTTTAGTTTTAATACAAGAATTGATAGTTGATCATTGAGTTTAGTATTGTAGCAATTACGCCAAAGTTGCTATTTTTATACTAAAAGAGGTAACATCGGATATAGATTATACTATCTACAAAACGCTGATTGATCATATAACTGGTGATCCAAAAATACACCATAATTAGCTTCCCAGAACGATAAGGATCTAAGCTGACAACTAACTGGAAGCAGGAATTGCTGTATTAAAAGTGACAGGTCTTGCTATGTGAGTTGTTTATGGCGAAATTCTATTCCAAATAAATATATTTAGGCTAACATCGGGAATCTGTGCTACGATTTAAAGCACTTGACATCTAACATTCACAAAAGTCGAATCTGGTATGAATTCTCAAAATCAAATCAAATAATGTTACCTGGTCGATATCCCTTGTACGATTTTTAACTTTATAGCGAGCATTACGAACACCCTTTCGGCCCATGAATCAGTAACCACGATAAGTGGGTATGTTGAAATAGTCTCTGTAAAGTGCAACAATAATGTATTAGTGTTAATTGAGTATTATATGACTCCAACCCAGTGTTCAAAATAGCCTAATTCAAGAATAGCTTGGTTAGAAGAGTAGTTCACTAGATTTTAAATATTTGAAAAAACCACGGGTTTCCACCAAAGGGTAAAATCTAATTCAGTGTTACAAATAAAAACTTATAAGCCTAGGAATGGGCTAATGTTGCTGACAGTAAAAATAACGACAAATCATTTAAGACATTAATTCCATGCTTAACACTATTAGTTTTGTGTTTATAATTTGTCACATACGGTTTGACCTAAGGACAGCTGTTGAGACAGTGTTTGTTGATTTATCACAATCGCTTGGAAAAGGTAGTACAGAAGATTTGTAGCTCAGGTGGATGATTTTGGTGGTTTTATTCTCTGAGCTGTATGGTTTGATCGTGGAGCTTTCACTGTTGTTCTTTATTTCGTTTATACCTAGAGTTTGTGCTCATGATGTCATTTAGAATAACGATGACAGCTCCACGACCAAACCATCCTGCTCAGAGAAGAAAACCTCATCAAAATCTTAGAAAAGTTGTTAGGGATTGTACAGCTCATTGGTTTGTGATATCATAAGACACAAGTCAAAATAGAAACAAGTAGTAATTCAACAAAGTTTTCTGGGTCTGGTTCATGCAAATGGCATGATGATTCAAATGATCGAAAACCAGTTGGTGTGTAACCGAAAAATGAAGAGTCAAAAAGAAAACAGACTACATTTTGCCAAACATAATTCATCACCCGTCTATCGAATAACTATGAAAAGTAACTACTGCTAGGACAAAAAGACTTCGCTAAAGTTATCTGTGCCCTAGTGGTTTGAAGATGTGCACTAATACTTACTGCATCTTAAAATCGAGGACTAATTAATCTAAATTAAGGAACTGGCCAGTTCCTCAACTGTAATTCCCGGAATTACAGTTCCCAATCACAAGCTTGAGATGCCATAATTTAATCTATGAATATCTCAGTGGTTATCAGTATTTTCACCTCTAAAACAGTTATCAAGAAATCTAAGAAGATAAGTAGGCAACTAAATGGGTAAAAATAAGGGAGTACTTTCTACGTACATTTTAGCCAGATGGGTAACGGATTTACAAACGGTTGATTTCCTGATGCTTAGATCAAAACCTCGAAAGGCTGTCGGTAAAAAACGTGAAAAATGTTTGTACTGCACATTGTGTTTACATCAGGAACGTAAAATAACGATGAAGTCAAAGAAATAAGTCAGTGATACCGATCGTAACAGTTTAAGGTTCAAACTTTACACTGTTTAGCATGTAGCAAAAAATAAGGTGTCCAGAACCCATGACATGAATCCGGGACACTAAGTTTCTTCATATTGCAAAGTACAAAGATGTCGAAGTGTTATCAACACACTTGAACATTTTCGACGATTTATTGACAAATGTAGATATACGCACCAGCTTTCACTGATCTTATAGAATTATTTTGTATTGAGTGATCAGTGATTTATACTTTGAAATTGCGGTTCTCATGTGGCTAAATGAAACTAACCCAGCGAATTTTATCGTATAATAAGCCGATGTCACCATACCACCTATGTACTGAAGACATTTTCAGATTAGCAGACCGATATCACAACTACTTACTGCTTTGAGAAATATTTTCAGTGTATTGTTGAATGCAAAGTTATGGGAAAACAACAAAAATTGGCTAACGTTTACCGTGAAATTGGTTTCAAGTCTGGGATAATTTACTTCCCAAACGGCTTTTATAACTTCAGAAATTCGGAGCACATTTAGTTAATATTCACACGAGTTTCATTTTACACTTATTGTGAAATGGCTGCATATAAGGAGAAGGCAATGCAGAATGAATAGAGACAACTTACATAATGATAAGAAACGCAACAAGTCAAGTGGCGCGGGATAAAATAGCAGGTTTATCAAGTTCATTTCGTCTTCAGTCCACAGTCTTCAGTAATAAGAATAAGATGTCTATCGACCTATATTAATTCTTGCAGTTTGTAACACCGTGGATGTCCAATCTCGTTTTGAATATATAAACAGGTGTTCTGGTGGAGAATTCCAGTAATTCGCTACTCGGTGTGAGATACGAAACCTCAAACGTAGACGACTTGATCTCGGTCTTTTAACTTTCTTCGAATGTCCTTTCAAATGACCAGTCCTAGATGTAAGGAAAAGATAAAACATACTAATACTAAGGTCATCGTTCAGTATACCATAAACCAATATTAAATCACCCCGTATTCTGATTTGTGTAGCAAGAACAGAAGGCCTACTGCCTATGTTATTCCTTTTCTAGTATGCTTCTGTGAGTGTCCAGTCTTCTCTTGAAAGTGTCAATTGAAGGTGCGGACACCACTGCTTCGGGCATCAGGTTCCAAGTATTGATGACTCGGTGTAAAAACCTGTATGCCACGGGTATTTTGTTCGTTCTTGGCTTTTCCACCCGCCTGCTATGTCCTCTGAGGTGTCCCGATCTAGTGAGAAGAAAGAGAAAAAGTTAGATCCGGAATCATTTCTCAGTATTCTGTACATCAAAATTAGATCTCCCCTTAGTCTGCGATAGGACAGAGTAAAGAGGTCCAGTTTTTCAAGCCGCTCTTTGTATGATAAACCTCGGAGTTCTGGAATTGCACGGGTAGCTGCCCTCTGTACTTTTTCCAGTATGTCCGAGTCACCTCTTAAGCAGGTGCTTGCAGCCTGAACGCAGTTCTCTAGCTTAGTTCTAACTGAGGGTGTGTATACAGTGGTGAACACGGTAGTATCTAACTTGGTGAATGTCCTTTTTAGAGCCCAGAGGGTTTGAAACACCTTAAGTGCGAGCTCTCGGAGATGGGCCGTCGACTTAAGATCATGACTCACTGTCACCCCTAGGTCCTTATGAGACCGGACCACGGGTAATGACACTTCCCCTATGTTGTACGTATTAACCTTTGAATCCCAAAAGTGAATGTAGAGACATTTTGCTGCGTTGATAGGCATCAGCCACTCTTTAGACCAGTTAATCAAATTATTTAAGTCTGCCTAAAGAGCACATGCGTCTGTGTCTCCAGTTATTACTCGTCAGATCTTTACATCGTCAGCGTATAATAACATTGTACACTGCACTATACTTGGAAGATCATTAACATACATTACAAAAAGTAAAGGACCTAGGACGGAACCTTGAGGTACCATACTAAGTACTGGTCTCCAGATGGAGCACTTGGAATTTATTCTTACTTTTTGTCTACGGCCTACTAGGAAATCTGTGGTGTTTGAATGAACCAATGATACCTTTGTACTTGTTGAATGCTTGATTTCGAATTCCAAATACAATACATCCGTTCGTGCTTGTGTCTTACTTCTTAATTCAATTGCGTTATTTCTGGGACTCTTAATTCATACTACAATTCAGATAATTCAAAACATTATATTGGCGTCGTGATGAACTACAATCTCAGGGTCAATCAAATTTGCGTTCATTTAACAGTGATTCCTATTCTCGTGTAAATATGAAAGGTGTTTCAACGAGGAATTACAAGGCAAATCACAAAGGTGAGATGAAGTTTGGTAAATGTTTATCATGTGGAAAGTTTCATGCCCGCAATTCATGTGTATTTCGTAATGCTAAATGTTTTAAATGTGGTAAGGTAGGACACATTCAGTCAGTATGCAAAGCTACTGTCCATTTTGCTTCAAGCTGTATTAAATCTTGTAATTCAAATTTCAATAATTCGGATGTTTCTAGTGATCATTTATCTTTGTCTACTATTTCGAAAGGTAATGCTCATATTCAAAAATGACTATATACATCGCTTGGTTCATTTCGTGACTTTATTGTGGACACAGGCAGTATAGAGTCCATTATTTGATTCAAGAACTTGAAATATCTAGATCCTAACGTTGTTGTACGACCCACTGAAGTATCAATATTGAGGATTACTGGACACAGACTGCCCATACGAGGATGTTGTGAATTGCTAATAAGAGATGATAATTATTCATGCATACCTTGTGAATTTTTAGTTAGCGAAACAGGACTGTCAGTGCTGGGTTTAAGGAATTTGAAAAGGCTGAAAGTGGAATTGTCTTTCCTAGTTTCTAAAGAAAATTCCGATGCTTTACTTCAGCATGGGGTACTCCTATCGTTACGCCACTGAAGTCGGACGGCAAGACCCCTAGAATTTGTGGTGACTATAGATTAACTCTGAATTCCCGTTTGTTGAAAGAAACGTGCACGACGGTAGAAGCTGAAGATATTCTAAATCGACTTCATGGTTCTAAAGTGTTCTCGAAAGTTGGCCTAAAAGGTGCTTATCTTCAAATCTCTTTAGATCAATCTTCATCTATTTTGACGACAATTAAGACACCTTTTGGTCTGTTCAAATACAGTTTCCTTCCATTTGGTCTAAGTTGTTCTCCAGCCGTATTTCAGGAAGTTATGAATAAAGTAGTTAGTGGTCTTGAAGGTGTTGAAGTTTATCAAAATGATCTCATTGTTCATGGTTCTAATACGGTAGTTCATGACCAGAGGCTTATTGCTTTATTGCGTCGTTTAATCGGGAAGAATATTACAGTGAATCCAAATAAGTGTTCATTTTGTGTATCTAGTTTTGGATGCCTTGGTTACCTAGTTGATGGTAATGGTATTAGACTAGATATGAAATGACTAGCTCCACTGACGAATGCACCGTCTCCGAAAAATCTTACGGAATTACGTTCACTAGTGGGTACTCTTCAATACTATTCCCGTTTTATTCCTAATTTTTCTTGTCGTGCAAATTGTTTATTTAATATTTTGATATCCAATTCATTCAAATGGAGTGAGGAACAAGAGTCATGCTTACGAAATCTACTGAAGTTTCTTCAAAGTGATGCTGTCCTTAGAACTTACTTCCCTAATGTACATTCTGTGTTTATTACCGATGCATCACCTGTGGGTATTGGCTCAGTTTTGGAACAGGAAGGTATACCAGTTACCTGTGTTTCACGCAAACTTACTGTTACTGAACAAGCTTATTCACAGACTCAGCGAGAAGCATTAGCTGTGTTTTGGGCTGTTAAAAGACTTCATAAATATTTATTCGGAAAGAAATTCACTATTGTTACTGATCATGAAGCTTTAAAGTTTATTTATCATCCCGAAAAATCTTTAGCACGTTCCTCAGCAGCAATGGTTCAGCGATGGAGTATTGCTTTGAGTGCACATGACTATACGGCTTAGCGCAGAAGTGCCAAACAGATTCAACATGTTGACCACATTTCTCGACAGTCATTACAAGATAAACCTACTAATACTTCGGATTGTTTGTTAGTGCAACCTTTACCAGTGAGACGTCCAGATCTCATTAGAGAAACTCGTAGATATTTTGGATGTATACTCAGTGCTATAAGGAAAGGTTGGAATGCTAATTTGAAACGTAGATTTCCTATCTATTTTTCAAAGCGGGATGAGCTATCTACTACTCCTGATGGTATTCTGTGTCTAAATGATCGTGTCGTCATTCCTCCTTCATTGCGTAAATCTGTTCTTGAAGATCTTCATAGTGGTCATTTAGGTGTTGAGAAAATGAAGTCCTTGGCAAGGCTCACACGTTGTTGGCCAGAGATAAATGCAGATATATGTCGTACGACAAACGATTGTGAGAAATGTCAGTTGAAAAATCATCCTTCGAAGTGGGTGCCATGGCCAATATCGTCTGAGGCCTGGCAGAGGATTCATGCTGACTATTGTAGACCATTTCTTGGTAAATACTACGCATTAGTATTCATTGATTCTTTTTCAAAGTGGCCTGAAGTTTTTTTCACAACTTCACCAAATTCTGATTTCACAATACAAGCATTAAGAAAGGTGTTTAGTCGAGAAGGGGTTCCCTTGGTGTTGATGACATAATGGCTCACATTTTGCTGCAGATGCAGTCACTACCTGGTTGAACGGTATAGGGTGTAAACATCTATTTACTGCTCCCAGACATCCGTGTTCTAATGGTCAGGCAGAGAATTTTGTTAGGACATTAAAGACTGCTATTGATTCTATAGTCCCCTCAATATTTAATGAGCTGGAGAGGGGAGTAGATACCTTTCTATTGCAATATAGAAATGCCAGACATTCGGTGACGAAGGAGACTCCATAGAAGCTATTGAAAGGAAGAATTCTTCGGTCAAATTTGAGATGTTTGGAGTCTGCAGAAGTTACATACTATTGAGGAAATGATCTTCGACCATCTACGGGTATTGTTCTGAAGAATGTCGGAAAATCAATGGTGCGAATTCTAGACATCGATGACCTAAGTACACACAGTTGACATGTAGATCAAATACAATTTCAGGAACCAGGTGAGTCAGTTCCAATTTCGATTGTTAATTCTAATGTTAATGAGCATATTCTAGATAATACAGAATCCTTATCCAATACAATGGCAGACAGACTCAGGATGAATTTGAGAGGAAGACGTACGATTGATTACAAACACCTAGACTCCAATTTAAGCTGTGGCGGATGTGGTGTTTGATTGAACCAATGATACCTTTGTACTTGTTGAATGCTTGATTTCGAATTCCAAATACAATACATCCGTTCGTGCTTGTGTCTTACTTCTTAATTCAATTGCGTTATTTCTGGGACTCTTAATTCATACTACAACTCAGATAATTCAAAACATTGTAAAATCTTTAATCCATTTTAAAAGACGTCCGGAAATACCTAAGTTTTCCAACTTCAATAGCAGTCTATTAGTCGGCACCTTGTCAAAAGCCTTACTGAAATCTATGTAGACAAAATTCACTGAGTTTCCGTTGTCTAGCGCATTAATCCGGAACTCCATAGCTATAAGGAGGTTCGTTGTACAGGATAGACTCTTTCTAAAACCATGTTGTGCCATGTTCAGCAAGTTATTGGTTCCCATAAATGCCGTTATGGTCCGTTTGATTATTCTTTCCAGTATTTTAATTACCACACTGGTGAAACTTACGGGTCTGTAATTCGATGGAACTTGTCGTGGACCTGTTTTATGTATGGGAGTGACGATTGCGTCCTTCCAGTCCATAGGTAACACACCTTGGTCAAGTAACATATTGAATATCACAGTCAGTGGGGCCGCGATATAATGGGCAATATGTCTCAAGATTTTGGAGTGTAGTTCATCTGGTCCTGTTGACTTATCCATGT